CACAAGCCTGTGAGTGAACCCTGCCTGCGAGGAGTGCCCAAGCACTCCCCCCCCGGGCTGCCCGGCTCAAGCCGACAGCGGCGCGGACGAGGCAATGGCTGCAAAAGCATGCACAAGCATGACTGCACAAGCAGGCTGGCACACAAGTGCAGTTCATATCATTTTGGGCACAAGCCACAGAACGGCTGCCCAGCCTGCCGTCAGTGTCTGATCAAGAAGCTGGCGACAGCAAAAGACTGTGGCTGGGCTGTGAGAAGTTGCCGCACACAAGTGCGGCGGGTAGCAGCAGCCACTGGAGATAAAGCTGTCATGACTGGAGCGACTGGTGACCACTGTGCATCACTGCCTGGACGGCTACTGCTGAGGCCAGGGCTGCTGCAAGGCTGGGCTAAACTGACGCGGGCTGACTACCATGCCTCAGTCTGTCTGTGAAGCCCGGGTGGTACTCAAGAACACAGCTTTTGATACACACGCTAGCGCCTGAAAGACTGAGTCATCGTTTGCGGCCACCTGAGGCAAGACTGTTAAAGACTGCACTGGCTGAGGCGTCTGCCGGCCTGAGGGCTGGTGGCAACGTGGGCACTGATGATAAGTGTGCCGGCTGCAGGACTGTGTTCGGCAGAGGACACAGGCAAAGGCAGTAGCCTTCCGTGACATGTCCCCTGCGTCTGAGTTCGGCTGGCAACCGGCTGTCTCTGTTGGCTGCTGGGGGCGCGAACGCGAGGCTGTATGGCGGAGTGGCGGTAGGAAACCGTGCCGTCCCTGGCCCTGGCCAGGTAGATCCCGTGCTCCAGGGCCACACGAGCTCGTTGGGGAAGGCTGACACGAGCTAAGTCAGGCTGAAAAGGCTGTTGCAAGGGACGCGGGGCAAGCTGTCTGAGTGTTCGTGTCACCGGCTGAACACCTCGGGTCTGGGATGGGTTGGGGAGTCGCCTGCAACATCAGGGGTGGCGGCGGGCCCGACTGTGGGTGCCTTAGCGGGCGGCTGGCCAGGCTTCGTCTGACTGGGTCCTGCGGCTGTCGTGGCCTTAGCAGATTGCTGTGGCGGCGGCTGAATCTGGGTGGCCTTCTGAGCAACTGGCTGCGGCCCTGAGTGGCCTTGACAGAGGGCGCCCCTTGCAAGGCACGGCTGCGCCCTTGGCCCCCCTTGCTGAGCGGCGGGATGTATCCTGCTGCCGGACTGGGAGCTGGCTGAGGCTGAATAGGCTGAACGGTGGGGACCTGCACACGGCTGGGTGCAGCATCGGCTGCGTCTGGACTGTCCACCACAGGCTGTAGAAGGCTGTGCAGGCTTGTCCTCTTCTTCTAGGGGCCGAACTTCAAGTGCCAGGAGGCTGTGCCTAGCCCCGTGTCTACGACCATCTGTGACCCCTGTTCTTGACTGTCACGGACATAGGCTAGCACCTGCTCCAGTCTGCCCTGCAAGTCTGTGGCAGATTTACAAGGCTTTCCACCAGAACGTTTCTGTCGAGGCTCATCAAGTCGACCCACGACTGTTCCGCCTGATGCAGCTGGTCCACCCACGACTGTGCCATGACTGCAAGGACTTACAACTGTTGACTGACTGCTGAAAAGTTTTGGCACTTGAGCCAAAATGGACGTTGTTGGTCGTTAAAGCTTGATGCACGCATGCAGGGCAAAATTTGTACCCTGAACTCCGGAACCTGCAACTTTAACCTTAAACACTACCCTCAGGTCCAGTGCTCCCAAAACTCTAAAACTCTGAACCTAAACCCTGCAAACCTACAGAAGCGCTGTCCAGCCTGTCGATACGCTCGAACATCCCCGAACCCAAAATCCCCAACGCCAAAGCGTCGAACCCCGAGACCCACATCCCTCTGGAACTCTGGATTCACTCTAGATGCCGCCTTATACACATTCAGTGCCTGAGTCGCCTGATGCTCGAATCGCGGGAGCTCGAATCACGCTTAAATTCAATCGGCTGGCCGCGGAAGCACGATTCGAGCACTGGCCCCGATTCGAGCGCTTCGAGTCAAGCGCCCGCGATTCGAGCACCTGAGTCACCAGCGATTCAACCACGCCAGCGATTCAGTCACCCGCGATTCAAGCACCAATCGCGGTTCAAGCAGCCGTGATTCAATTCATGCAAGAACCACCTATGGAAGCCCCTTAACGATCTTTTTTCAGTACAATTCAATATAGTTAGTGTATGGGAGCGTACTACTTTTTCTTGATCCACAATGTATCTCTTTCTGTCGTTTTGTTTGTTTTTCTCATCGACGGTGGGAAGACAGGCACGCAAACAAAGCAGAAAAACACTTAATTATGCAAGTTAGGTGGCTTGGTCACTTCACACCCGTAAGATCAGAGCCGCTGACCGCTTAGAACTACTAAGCCGCAGACTCAACAAGCAGGTTGTTTGCTGAGACATAAAGACGATGGCAGACGCGTGTCCAGGCTGACAGTGTAAGTCGTGGAAAAGTTTCTGTTTTCAATAGTCCGCTGTGGCCTCGCCTTGTAGTGTGCCCAAGACCGATCTCCGGGCTTTAGGCGCAGCTCGGAGGAGGCAGCTGAGTCTCGCACCATCTCCCGCTTAGCCCAGACCTGAGGAGACAGTGGAAACGCAGCATTCATTGGATCTGCGCGATCTTTTGCTTTTGGACATCTGGTAGCAGCCTGCAGCCGTCCCCAACACCAAAATTTTGAAACCCCTCGCTTTCATCATCTCAAACGAGAAAGAAGGTCTGGGAGTCCAAACCCATCGCCGCCGTCGCCGTCGCTTCGCCATCTCCTGGTCCGTGAGCCTGGGCAGGGCAAGGGATCCAGCGATTGTAAAATCTTCCTTCAGAGACCCCACCCTCTCCCTGAAGCGACAGGGTTCTTTAGGGCGTGGCGCCTTTTCGGCCTTGGGCCTCTGCCCAGGCTCCCGTCTGCCGAAGGAGGGGCCCCGCACAGAGGCGCAACGCCAGAGAGAGCGAAGCAAAAAAAAGTCACGCTGGGCGCTGTCGCAGTCTCCTATGATTCAACCACTGACCCGCCCAACGGCACTTCGCTTTGCAGGGGCGAGCCACCGATTTCACATGCTAGTCATGCGGCCATACCCAGGCCCACTACTAGGGATCGACTAGAGGCAATGCCATGCGCACAGGTAGACTGCTGCTACCAATAGCAGATGGTGCTGCTGGCAGCTGTGACGACGGCCGTGGGCCGCAGCAGCGGGCTGCGACAACCTTTCAGTGACAAGAGCCCGGCAAAATGCTGGTGATGCCGTGATGCGCTGCACTGGAATGTCACAGTGCCATGGAGACCTCACGGCAACACGCTCCGGGCAGCGCGTGAGTCCTTGTCAGGGTATCCACAGATATCCACAGCTCGCACAGGTCCAGAGTCCCAGGTGGGGAGCTACTTTGCATCCTCGTATCAGTGTCTTCCTCCGTTTGCAATGCCATCTTATGACGCCCTCAGTTGGCAGGTCGGCACCGCATGGACTTCGGTACCCGCGTTGCCAGCGTGCAGGTGTTGCCAAGTTCTGGAAATCTCGGTAGGATGAGGCAATGTAAGAGTGTTGAACCAAGCCCGAACATGCAAAAGCCGCGATGGGAACACAACGCCCTCCTGCCTTTTTCAATCGGCGTGGGCACTTCTCACGCCCACACCTGCAGAAGCAAGCTCACCGGCAGTCGCAAAAACCGGCAATTCTTTTGCACTCTGGCCCGAAGAAATCCACCCATTCGGAGCCTCGACCCGTCCCCCCTTGAATACTGCAACTAGCTGAGCTCTGATCTGCCAACAGTTCTTTCCATCGCACGAGCTGCGGAAGCATGTCTTGCAACACATGTGCAAAGCCAGGTCGGCCACGCGAGCAACAACAGGCGACAGCTGCACGCTCGGTGTAAGCTCCGGTGTGCGACATGACCGTGATGCTAACACACCCAGGTCACAAGTTTGCATCTTCGTCACCGTAGGTGCACCGTTTTCAGGTCCGTTCTGTCTGACAGTGCGGATCGAGGCTGCGCAATCCATCAATCCATGAACTTGCCGAAAGGTCAGTAGACTTGAATCATGGCCTCAAACTCTTCTCTTAGCAATGGCAACTGACGGGAAGCCAGGCCAGAACCAGACATTCCTGAGAAAACACGTCGTGACTAGGCCTTGCCCGGACCTTGCAAGCGTCGAAGCGACTTCTGGCTGAGCTCCCACTACTTTGAGTCTGTGCTGCCGAACTCAGCTTCATGATCCTTCATAGGCTTGGTCTCCTCGTGGACTCTTAGCACAGAGCTTTGACTCTATTATCCCGGATCTGAAAGGATCTTTCGCATCTACCCTCAAATCTATCCGCTGCTTCTGTTATACTGAGGCGACGACGGCTCCTGCAGCAACCGTTCCAGCCAGAAACGCGCCTGCAGCGTATGCTAGAAGCTGGCACATTCAATCTGCTGATGGCTATTTCAGCCCATGTGAGGCTCGCAAGCAAACAAATCATGTGGTGCCACTGCTTTTTCCGCTCAAGCACTCGAGCGCTGCGAATCTGTCAGCCTCTCCTGCTGAAGTCCTGCTTGCTTAAAATGGTGATCTTGGCATGTGAGAAGTGCCCTCGAAGCAAAAGCTATCTCGCAGCAAAGCCGCAAGGTTCGCTAAACACATGCCGAGACCCGTCACATGCCGAGATCCGCCAAAACAGACTTTCCACAGGCGAAGATGCTTAGATGCCTCCTTTTGAAGGCATGTCGAAACTCGAGAGAACTCCCCTGCGCGCTGCGGGAGAAGCAACTGTACCATTCGAACCCTCTACGACCTACGACGTTTCTAAGTTTTCGAGTGTGAAGCTCGGGCTTTGGGCTTCGGGAGCCTCGGGATTTCTGGCCCACAAGACCATCAAAAGAGCTCTGACGCACTTTGCTTACTTCTGGACTCTCTCAACACCCAGACTGAAATCCTGCTTTGCGAGGTTCCGCAAACGTTAAACAAACGTCATCCAATGTGGTGTTGCGAGTACGTCGCAATGCCACAGGAACTACACAGAGCCAATTCCACAAACATCACTGTATCGGTGGCAGAGCGGCGCGACAAGTCGGGCACCTGTGCACTGAAGACTTGTGGTCCATTGCAAGACTAAAGATGTTGTTTTTTGAGGGCCGTTCTTGCGCAGCTTGGGTTCCTTTCGGATTTGCTGCGACTGTGACGAGTTACAACGAGTTATCATGAGCTGACATGTTCGCAAGGCAGTCGGTTTTCCAAGGGCCTGGAGAAAACACAGAATGCTTGTAAGGACCCTGCGATGAAGGTGTAAATGAGTCGCATCTCAGGTCTTGGCTCCATCTTCACATCCATCCACTGCTCGAGGCAGGCCTGGAGTCGCTTCAAAGAGATGCGGCAGCGAGCTGGTAGGAGATATTATGTCCTGTCTCTTCTGTCCGCCTAACTGCCCTGCAGCGTCGGCATCTGTGTCCGTGGCTCGGTGGAAGGTGTGGTTGCACGGCGTCACGACGTGGTGCTGGCCACCCTGCGCAGCTACACTCGCAGTCTCTGCCTCTGCCTCTCGTATCAACGGTATGACTCATAGTATGGCGCGTAGAAACGCAGGTCTCCCAGTCCTCTGGATTGAGGTCTGCCATGCAGATGACGCCTGGGAGGGACGGGAAGAGCCTGCAACTGCCAAAATCTGTGCATCCGTCTGAGAGTTCGGCATTCAGATCCCGGATCAACGGCCTGGGCGTGTGCTGAAGGAAAAGACTTCCTTGCTGCAAAAGCTCACCGCATAGCTTGAATTTGACACTTCACGACGAAGCGCAGCGAATCGGTTGTAGTTGTACGCCCACGGCATACAAACCTTGGTCGGCTGCACGGCACAGGGAGAATGGAGGACCGAACAGTCTGCACAGCATGAGCAAAAGCATCTGATGGTACTGATGACAATGCGCCTTGGCAACCACCTCCCTGTTTTGCTCGCGGTGCGGTCAGCATTTCTGTGGCGCACAGGTCGGTAAAGGACAGGCCAGATCGAACGGAAGAACTTTTGAAACGGTCAACGAGTCGATGCTTCAGAGGAATCTTCTTGATCGATGTGGCTTTCTTTTTCTCCGTTGCATATATGGCGGAGCACTGCCGAAATTGGTGCGCGAGTAAGTATATGGGTCCGTCTAGGCATTGCATTACTTCATTAAGCCCTCGGGTCAAGCGTCCTTGTTTCTGGGTGCTCCCTCACCACTGCAATCGAAAAAACACGCGTCGGAAACCATGAGGTAATGCCTGTAAAATTCGGCACGTACTTGTGAAGACACAAGTCATTACCCAGATCAACCACGAAGCTCTGCTTGTGTATTAACAGTCACCCTGAACCCTAAAACCAACCCCCGAGCAGAAAGCATCCACCTCAGAGCTCACTGGCCGGCGACGGTACATATCGACGCGCATGGCCGGCCACATAATCGTCCTGGGACAAACAAGCCGTCTACCTCAACGGCAAATCTTGCTGCACCCGTCAAACCGCCTGCCTTGCTAACACACGATTTAGAGCAAATTCCCTTGTGCTTTCCTCTCACCAGAACCTAAATGAAGTTGGTCCTGTCCGCTTAACCGCTGGCCTAGAGCCCAGCAAGAGAAGCCTCCTCCTCCTCCTCCTCCTGCTCACTATTTGCCAACTCGAATCCTCTCTTTCACGAGGCTCCAGCCAAACCTTCAGACCCTGAAGACTGAACCCCCAAATGAGGATCAAGGGTCATGACCAGGGCTGTGGTAGCCGTGGTTCATCTTCAGGCTGCACCTTACCAAAAACTTCAAAAGGTTGGCAAACCAACGCCTTCCATCAGATCACCACCTAGCGGACGTGCGGGCAATGCTGGTAGCAGAGACTACACGCATTGAGCTTGGCACAAAAGGCAAACTCTATCGTTGCACCGACTTCGTCTTGAGCATTTCATGAACACACCACCCTCACTCAGGAGATACTAGGACCAAGCAAGAATTAAAACTCGATGTCTCTCGCGATGGTATGGGAGTGGCAAGACTGACTGCTTATGACTTATGACTTATGACATCATACAGCCCCAACATTGAAGCCCATGCTCCCTGGTACGTCGACCCGAGCTGCGCAGCAAGCGACAATGCCAGCAGACGACTGTCCAAAGTAGCATAAGGCTGGAAGACTCAAGTCAAACAGGTAAACCACTGCGCTATCAAATCGCCCATTGCACCAGAAAGACGCCCTTTCTGCATCTTCGTGGCTTTAGTTTGCGCACGTGGAAGTGCCAGTGAAAGCCTAGGACGCGCAACCAGGTGGTCTGAGGATTAGGAGACACAACAAGCACTGCAACAATCCTTCCAGCCACGTACAATGCAGCATAACGACGAAGAGTAAGATTTGCGTCAAACAGACCGATCTGTGAACCCGGGCGATCTTCCTCCTTCTCTCCGCAACGACCCACAGAAAGCTGTCACGAAGCAAGATTAGTTTGACTGGGTACTTTCACCACCCCGTTGATGCAGAGTGCTGCAGCTGTAGGCGGATTTTGGCATTGCAAGGAACCGATTTGCTGCAAAAGAAAGCTGGATTCGCGCACCGGGCCCCTGATGCGCACAGGGCCGATTCACGGATGAATGGCACAGCAGCAGCAGCCGCGTCAACAAAAACAACCACGACGACGAAAACAAACACAACAACGACACCCTGCTCCTGCTCCTGCTCCTGCTGCTGCTGCTGCTGCTGCTGCCGCCCGGCCCTGGCCCTGCCCCTGCCACTGTCACTGCCACTGGTACTGCCAGTAGTGCTGGTTGCTGCTCCTGCTAGTGCTACCGCCCTGCTAGCTTGAAGCGGGCTCTGCGCCAAAATTGCCAGCGCTTGAACCCGCTTACTATCACGCGAGCTCGAACTGCAAGTGATTGAATCGAGCTTGCCTGAATCGACAGTGCTTTAATCGAATGTGCTTGAATGGCATGTGCTTGAAGTGCCATGCTGGAAGCGTGGTCCAAAGTGAAGGCAGTTGAGGCTGGAACAGTTAACGTCTGCTTCACAACTGGCAGCGCACTTGACAGCAGTGTCGGCACTTGGCACCTCATCAACATAGTCCTCGGAAGCCAGCATAGCTTACTATCAAGGAGTCCTTGACACAGCTTTGCATGACGCACAGTCTTCTTGCTGGATGGCAGAAAACTAAGGGCTCTTCGCCATAGAGCCTTAGCTGCAGTCAATGCACATGGCCCGGAAAATCGCTAAACCCCTGACACACTGCAGCAAAGAAGATGCGAAACAAAAGAAAAGCCGTGGCTGAATGCGGCTGGCCCACCACGCTCCATGCATGGTGTGGTGGCCGGCCTCCTGGAGGTGCAACAAGGCCCTCCCTTCTAAAGGCCCTCCATGTAGGGTTTATGAAGCGCGGCCTTCACACTGCTCAGATGCCGCTGCCGGCCGTCGCCAGCCTCTGGTCGTAGATCGCCTTGGGGGAGAAAGGTGAGATAGGCGAATCCGGAGACCTTGCAGAGATCCAGCTCTTGGCATGAGTTGCGCTCGGGCCATGGCTGTCACTCAGAACTGCAGATGGCACAGTTCGCACTGGAGTTGTTGTGGTGGTCGTGGTCGTGGTGGTCGTAGTGGTTGTAGTAGTTGTTGTAGTGGTAGTAGTTGTCGTAGTGGTGGTAGTTGTTATGGTGTCTGTCTCCGCGGGTGTCGTGGACTTTGCTGTTGGCTGTGGAGGAGGAGGCGGTGGCGGTGGGGGAGGCGGGGGTGGGGGTGGTGGTGGCGGTGCTTGTCTCGGGGGCGGAGGAGCAGGTGCCTGGGGCACCGGCGGCACCTGGCTTGCCTGGGCTGCTGAACCAACGAAATAAGTCGAAGATAAGCTGCCTGTGCTTGCCCGTACAGTGGCAGTCTCATTGCTGAACTTCTGCAAATTCTGCCAAAGGAGCCCTGCGGAAGGCAGGAGCTTCACCAAGCGCGAGGGGCAGCAGCGCCAGTATCCACACTCGGGCCATAGCAGGGACGTTCTTCTCCGAGGTGAAAGCTTTCAGGGTTAAGAGGTAGGCTCCAAGGTGTTAGGCTGTGCGACGAAGAAAACAAGGCCTGTCAGGGCTGACGGGCTGACAGATCGAGGCCAGAGGCCAGAGGCTGGGGAGTCTAAAGCCTAAAGCTATCGGTTGGTTTTGAGACCAGCTACTTTACACGTATGAATCTTTGATGGAGTCTTAGTCCTGAGCTCATACATCGAGCCAAAAGCCCCTCCAGTCGCACGCCTCTTTCAGATCTACATAGCTCGTTCGGGCTTCCGCCTTCCTGACACGTCCCTTGGTGCGAGCATGTGCATCCGACATGCCTCGGGGCCCAACCCATGGGATAAACCATCGAGCGCCCAGTCTCCGCTGCAACAACAAGACTCCGACCTCAGCGGAACACTGCCATGTGACGCCATGTCACCCGCTGCTACACTTGCTGACAAGGCCGGACTGGCAAAGAACAGACACAGAGAAGTCCCATTTTTGAGTCACGTGCTTGAATCGCTTGTAGTCCGACCAGAAGGAGACACCACCGAAGGCTCGGAGCCTCGAAGGCAAACCGAGCCAACATAAGCAGAAACTTCAAGGCCCTGGAAAGTCCACATTTGGCCCCCGACTCCGGGAAGCCGCGGGTAGATCTCTCCGCTGAAGATCGACTTGGGGCCTCGGAAAGACGCCCGAAACAGCGCAAAAAGTTGGTCTGCCGGCTCAAGCAGCACTGAAGCATGCATCGGCCCTTGTTAAATGTCGTGCCGCAGCCTTAGAGTGAATTTGGGGCCGGTGCAGCCCCACAGGTAAAGCGGAAGAAGCAGCCTTAGTCGCTACTGCTTCGAAGTGTCTCACAAAGACACCCGACAAGCAAGGTCCTTGCAAACGCCCAGGGCTAAAGTTACTGGGCCAGCCTGGATGCTGAGATGCCCGAGATGAAGCTAGCTTTCAACGAGGCCCTGCCCGGGCTGTCGGATCGCAGCTAGAGGGGCAAAAGCATAAATGGAATGGAAAGGCACCTGCAAATTGCAAACTGTCTGAAGCTCCACAGCCATGCAGTCAGATGTGTGCCCACTTCTAGCACTAGTATTCTGGCCATGCACAGTTGCAGCCAGAATGAGTTGCATGAAAGACTTCAAGAACTGCAGGATTAGATGCGCCTCGTGCCCTGCCAGGCGTCCCAGGCAATTTGCGGCACCCAATAAAACTGCAGCGATTGCCAAACACAACAAGAAGCCGGCGAAGAGTATCCTACCCATACCTGTCGCAGAGTAGTCTCTAGACGACTGTCCAGCTTGAGTTGCCGGTCTTCTTCTTGTGCTACTTCAGCGGCATCAGCCTGCAGAAGAAGCACCACCAGGTCGAGGAAAGGAAGACCTTGCCACCAGCACCACTAGGACCTACAAACTCCTTGACATAGGACATGCCTTTGTGCTTGATCTATATTGTCGACGCCCCCATGCATACACTCCAAAGCTCGTGCGGATGCCACGACCCTGCGTGCCCGGCCTTTCAGGAAGTTCTCACCGTGGCATACTGTCGTGGCTGCACATTTGGAGCAAAAACAAAACGGCATGAGAACCAGAGCTGTGCCGTCCGTTCACCAGCTCTGGCTCGGCGGCCCCTTGCGTGCTTGGGCGGGGCTTCCAGGGGATCTGGGGCAGCGACAGTTGTAGATGATGATGAGCCCCAGCACCAGGGCACCGTAAAATCGTGTGTACCTCAACCAGGCAAATCGCAGGTGGACTGAAGCCTCAAGCACCTCATGTCACTGCTTCAACATCTGCCATATCAGTATCTTCGGAATCGGACCTGTAGGTACCGAAGTAGATGCAAAGGGTCCGGGCGCCGCTACGGCTGGCCCATTCACACAGGGCAACTTAGGAAATCAGAGTTGCTGCAGAGCATCGGTAGCGACAGCATCCCGGCAAGGCTCCAAGCAAGATGGCAGAAGACAAGAACAAATCCACAAGCAGACTGCAAAAGGAATGGGCTAAAGTCCAACGCTAACAAGAAAAACACTTGGAAGATTTGTCAAAATCCTATATAGCCTGTGTGATCCTGCGCCGCAATGTCGACATCAGACATTGAACAGCACCTTCTGACTCAGAACTCAGACTGCTGGGTCAGCTGAGGAGTTCACAGCCATGATATTTCTCGTCGCACTGATTCCCATCCCTGCCGCAGGCAGGTCACGAGTGTTCTGCATCGTCGAGGACCGAGTTTTGACAAATGCAGCATTGCTCCAAGTTCGGCTGTCGGTCAGGTTCAAGCGATGTGCAGTAACGCAGAATCCCCTCAGCAAACGCCCAAAATCCCGTGTGCTTGCCTTGAAAACGGAGTACTGAACCCCCCGCATGGAACCCAATCCCGGCCTCAGCGAAGGCCTCGTGCCGTCGGTGGCGCAGGATGATCAAGAGGTACCGGGCCTTTTTCGAACGAGCTCTTTCAGGGAGTGCAGTAGCAGTAGCAGTAGCAGTAGCAGTAGTAGTCGAAGAAGTAGTAGTAGTCGTAGCAGTAGTTCTGGCAGCTCCCCGAAAGCGATCGCTGACATGGGACTCGTCCGAGTGCCACTGCACAATGCTCGCACTTCCAGAATGCGTCGTCTCTACAGGATCACAGAGTGAGTGGGGAGCTACAGTGAAATCACTATAAGCCCTTAAGCAACCGGACGTCAGCCCTCCTACAGCTCTCGTTGCTTGCCCTGTACCGTCAACGTTGAACAGCCCCGTCTCCACAAGCCTCTTCAGCACATTCCCAAAGATCCAACCGGAACGCTGTCGATGGCAAGGGCTGCCGTCAACATGTGCACAGACAAAGACTCGGAGACAATTCTTGGGGCACGACTTCCAGGAAGGAACACAGCAGGAACTTGAAGAGCGCGATCATGGACATAGAGTTGAAGAGATACTGCCATGTCAACAATGTCGGCACATCATGTCAAAAGCCGTGGCGAAAGGAGCGGAGTCACAGGGCTTCTGGCTACCAGCCTCGCCTGTGATGAAAGACCAAGGCAGAGATGGAGGAAAGAGTCGTAGGCATCGGTCAAAGCCTCCCGTCCACACGAGAGCTGACACAGCGACAGGCATCGGCACAATCCATGTCGAGAAGGAAGAGCTAGAGAAGGACAGAATCCGAGCTTCTCCCTCACCTACAACGTTGAGCATGCGTATATGGTGTGCAGACCACTAGCAGTAGCAGCTGCAAGCGAAGGAGTCACCCCCTTTCCCATGAACAGGCGAGCCTGCATAGCAATGCAGAGCATGGAGACCTGTCCACTTGCATTGCTCTGGTCTGAACCGAGGAGAACGGATTGCAAAGATGCTCAGAGATGACCTGCCTCATCAAAGTATTCGCGTCGACCGGAAACCGGAGCACTGTGGTCGAATTTAAAGAAAATCCACCTACGCACCCACTTCGCCTGCCTTAGAAACTGCCGGACCATCGTCGGCTTCGTTCATCTGGTGCATGAAGCACCTTCCCAAAAGAGGCAGGTCATTTGGTGCTTGGGTTGAAACCCGGGTGAAGAAGGCAAAACACGAAGTTGCGCCGATGTTCTCTCAACCAGCAATAACCCGTCCCTGAAACCGTTTTGCGCATCCTGAGCTCTTACACACTCTTTGACAAGGAAAGGCCCGGTACTCCTTCATGACTGGTCACAAACCTACATATTCTTGCGAAGGCAGCCGTCAAGCACCAACCCAGCATTGCGCTGAGCTAGGGCACCGAATCTGCCAGACGCAGAGCAAGTTCACCCAAATCGAGTAGTGAACCACCTGCTGTAGCTGCGCATTTACATGTGCAAGTTCGAGCACCTCTGGATTCACATGTCCTCCAACTTCGCCAGCTAGCGGTCATTATCATACCGAGTCTAGCGTGCAAACAAGCAATCAGGGCTGCGGGCAAGATGCTCATCCCAAAGAGGACCAGAAAGTTAGTTAGCGCAAGCCAACCTTGTTCGAAAGAAACTCTCTGTCGACGACATTCGTTGAGAAACGTAGGCGAAAGCCACAGCTTTCTCCAACGACCTGGTGCAAGGCACTCCCTTCAGAATGTACTTTTTGGCAAAGGCCTGTCTCTGACAACGCCACTGCCACAGATGCACGGGCAGCCAGGCAGCCTGACCTCTCCGGAGATGCTCGCCGATGATGGATGTTCTCCGAGATGTTCAGGGTTCGCCACCTGGATTGCCACTTTTGCGAACCACATTATGTGAAATGTGAACATCAGGTCAGGTGCCGAAGACGCGAACTTGCTGAGCTCCGGCAACAGACAGAACAAAACGAAGACGGCAGGAAACACTCGCCGTGTATCCAAAACCGCCAAGATCGCGGCCTCGAAACCTGTGTCAAGGTACGCCTGGACCATGCAGGACCTGCACAGCTGCACATCGCCGACTTACACCAGAAAGACCCCGAACCATCAGAAGTCACTGCCAAGATATCTGAAGTGAAGCAGACCCTGTGCCTGGCCCCGAAGTGTCGGAAAGTCCTGCCATGGAAGGCCAGGTACGCGAGGCATAGCTCCACATCGGCCGACAGCAATTGCTTCTGCGCTTCTGCAGTCCGACAGTCCTGGGATCTGTGTTGCCAATGGCAATGGCCCTGTGAAGCAGGTCCGACAGCAAGTCACGGAAGCAACGAGACTATCCTGTCTGAGGCTGCAGGTGATGCGAACCCCTTTTTAATGTTCGCGTTCCCATGGTCCTGGTGCCCTGAGGCACAAGCATGAGCTTTGATGCTTTCATGGGAAACGGAATTTGCTACCCAACTCTGAAGCATTGTCTCGGCCCGCTACGAACGACATCAGGCCGCAGAGTTTCAACCGCGGCCCGCTTGCATGCGCTCACGCGCGCTGAAAGGCAGGTGGCTGTCGGAGCCTGTCTTCCTGGTCAGCTGGTTGCAAGCGTGGCGGCACGCTCTCCCAGAACGTAACCTACAGACCAGCGTCCTTCGCTTCTTCTCCTTCTCGCTCACTTTATAAAGCGACTGACGCTTCTCCTGCTACCAGGACTGTCAGTCGGTCATGGATCTAGCTTTCAGTAGTTTGGCCTTTGCCATGCACTCTCCTGCAACCTATATACCTCAGCCCATGTGGCTTGGCTGACAGCATACCCACCAAAGAAAGATTTCTTGGAGGAAATTGCAGTCCACTCTAAATTATGGCCTTCTTCTCCTTTGGCTGATTCTCCTGCCAGCAAGATGATTTTGTGTGCAATGGCGACCCACTTTCGTCCCTACAACTGCTCAACCAAGGCAGGCCTTTTCAATTTTGTCGGAAGCTTGAAGCATCTCGTGGGGCCTGGGAACACGATCATTGCATCGTTGTTGGCACTAGGATTGCGAGCGACACCAGCAGTTTGAGACTTCTGCGGTCGCTAGCTAGACATTGCTATGCTCGCTGTGCCTGATGCTTATTGTTATCTGCACAAGCATCACTCGCAGAACCGTTGAGATTCTTGTCCTCATCACGATTGCACTGATTGTTTGAGTGCTGCCGTCGCTGATGTCAGTGTGTCTGACGAATCATGCTTTCCACCTACAAGCTGTGCTGCTCAGGTCTCCGCTTGATGCCGAAAGTTCAGTACCCTACTTTTTTTATGTTGGTTTGGACCTGTTTTGGGATTCTAGTGTATATTTAAATAGGCTTCCCCTATGACTCAGAAGCCAAGCACTTCCAAGTGTGTGTTGTTATCTGGAGGCGGAAAGTTCAGTACCCTACTTTTTTTGATGTTGGTTTAAACCTGTTGCGAATATGCTTGGTTGTCTCCCTTGGCTTTTCACAATGCAAAAGCCGCACAGTCCGTAGCAGTGCACTTGGAAGCGATTTTTTTTCGGGTCCAGCGCTCGCTGCTGTCTGGAGGGGCGAGTGCGTGAGTCACGACAAAGCTTTGGTGACGCACTCGCCGGTTCGCTCCTCCTCCTTCCACTGTTCAAGGCTCATTGTCAGAGCTTCATCGAACAGACGATGAATGTCATTTAAAGCTTGTTCACTATACCATTCGTTTGTAAAAGATTTGTACTCAGGTCGCAGCTCGCAAAGCAAGAGATGCGTCCTCTCTTCAATCCTCCGTGCCAGCCAATCCTCAGTGCATACAAGCACGCGAATGAGGCGCTGGATGGTGTAGCCGTGGGTCGCTGCTGTCCTTGTGTAGATTAATGTGCGGGGCATAATCCGGCAGAAGCGGCATACACCGACCTTCAATACCGCATGAGTGTTGTCCTCGGCGCGGGCATAAAGGATATGGACGCAGGCCGACCAAGATTCACTGACGTGGTGAAGCAGTCTGGAGGCATAGACTGCGAGCCCGTAAGGCGTTGGTGGATGCTGTAGTCGGACGATCACCGCGGAGAGCCGATGCAGTACCTGGGCGTAGTTACCTCCTCTGCAGTCTTGAGTCAGAGCCTTTTGTGGTGGCAGCATGCTGTGGATGTGGCACCAGAGCAAGCCTAGGCGGCTGGAACACAGCAGGGGATAAGAAGATTTAAGGATGTAGAACACATAAGAAGACTTAAGGATTAAAGGTCTGAAATGCTAGGATCACAGAGCCGCGGCACGCTGACGACCTCTGTGGCGCGCAGGGGCGCGCCATCGGCGATCACACGTGGTGCGATCGCCGATGGCGCGACGTGTTGCTGTCTCTCAGTAGTCCCTTGCCCTCGAGGAGGAGCGCTCGACCCATGGATCGGTGATCCCCGGGAACCTCCGAGATCGGCGATCCGCGACCTCCGGGATCGGCGATCCGCGATCCCCGGGATCGGCGATCTGCGACCTCCGAGATCGGCGATCCGCGATCCCCGGGATCGGCGATCCGCGATAATCCCCCCCCCTTCTCGGCGCGAAAATGCGGGTTTGCAAACCCCCCTTCTCGGCTCGAAAATGCGGGTTTGCAAACCCCCCTTCTCGGCTCGAAAATGGGGGTTTGCAAACCCCCTTCTCGGCTCGAAAATGCGGGTTTGCAAACCCCCTTCTCGGCTCGAAAACGGCTCGGAATAACAGAACAACAAACCGGCCAGGGCATCAGCTGCAGTAGAGACTAAGTGTTAGTGTATACCCCACACGCACAGACACTCAGCAAGTCATGACAGAAGAAAATCAGCACTGCACTCTCACTCTTAGAGCAGCCCCTGGCCTTGGCGAGGATCTCATCCACTGAAGCCGGAGGTCGAGGCCAGGCGGCCAGCACCGTTGTGAGCCAGGATCGTCGATCTTCCTTCGGAACCACCCTGCGGTGGTTCGGCTTGGGCATCGTGTGCATCAGCGGGTGCACTGTTTGGTTGGCTGTTTCTTGTGCTTGCTGGAAGGCCTCCGGTGCAAGATCTTCTTCTAGAAAGGAACGTCTGTCATAGAGGTCCATTGCACCCTGGGTCTGGTCCCGCTGAGCCCACTCGCTTGGCTTCAGTGTCGAGAATCTGCAGTATACCAGTTGGAAAAGGAAGAGGATAGGGGCCATTACCTCCGACTCGCGATAGGAGGTGATGGCTCCCAGGTGCTCGCCTGGCGTTCCTGCAGGCGTCATGTCCTCATCTTCGTCCTCCTCGCTCGATACAGATCTACTGTACTTCATGAAGCTCAAACCTTCGGGTACGAAAGTCCCTGCCTTGTCTAGGAGACCACCCTGCGGTGGCTCCGCACAAGGCTCCTGCGGTGGATCACGATTCTCCTTCCCAGCACCCCGCTTGCGCTTTGGTGGTGGTGGGTTGCTGCCCTCTGGTGCGTCCCGCGGTGCTGGGGGTCTGCTGCTCTGTGACGCACGCCTCTGCTGGGGCAAAGGCTTCGCCACAGGTCCTCTCACCGACACTACCTCTGGCTTCACCTCCTCTGCCATAGGCTTCATCGAGAGATTCTCGCGATCGAAGCGATTCCACAAAGCATCCATTAACGTCAATGCCTTCGTCTGGGTTGCTTCCATGAGTGTCAAGGTCTTGGTTTGGATGGCCTGGGCCTTCGCAAGCATTCGCAACTCCAATGCTCGCTGCGGACCTGCCTCTGCTTGCACTTCATGAAGCAGGGCTTGTGTTGAGCATCCGAGCCCCTCCTCACTTCCACTTGGCTCAGCTCGTTGTTGCATGGCTGCTAGCTGCTGCTGTGCCTGACGTAGTTGTGCCCGGAGATCTTGGCACTCTCCTTGCATGTCCTTATCGGCTGTGCTCACCCCAAGCACGGATGCCGGTAAGGTCTCCAGCTCTTCCTGAGACTTATGCTCGCGAAGACCTGGTGCTCGGAAAGGCGCGCTAGCACTCTTGGGCAGCATGGTCGGTGCTTAAGCTAGCTGCGGTCCTGCAACTTCTCGAGTGGAGCTCTGGATGCTCTGAAATGGCTACATGGAGCAGCACATCAGCACATGCATGTCTGCCGCCGGCTTCACAAAAGCACTGGGCTTCAAATGGCTCCCCACTTGATGCCGAAGCGTTGCATCCACCGCCGCCGCTCGTCCTTGCCGCTAGCAGTGTCGCTGCTCCGTTGCTCAGCCTTTCGCCTCGCCTGTTTGCTCTGCCTCGTTCTTGTGTTACTACGCAATCGTTGCCATCACTATGAGCACCACCAGCTTCATCCGTCTCATCGTGCCGTCGAATCACGATCTCCATCTGCATCACCAGCATCACCGTCATCGCCGTAGCCCGGATCAGGTACTCTGGATTCTGGATACACAGTTGTTGCTTGTTCTTCCATTACTGAGTATGGATATGGCTATAGTTGATGAAGACGGATAACAAGAAGAATATCAGCAGTCTTTATTGCATCTCTCCTCACGACAGCCTTTGCTACAGTCACACCAAGATCGCCCTGGCACCTTGTCCATGCCGGAGAAGTCCGGTCTCTCAGGTGGCTGGTTGGGATCCTCGGGCATTGCAGGTCTCTTTGTCTCCCTTTGAGGCTCAACGGAACTCTCTCTCTTATGAAGGGATGAAGATGTGTTCGGAAGACAATCAAGGACTGTCAATCGGATGGTCTGTGGAGCGTTATGCCATGTTGTGTATGATTGTGCGACTTCTGCGATTTTTTCCTCCGGTCTTCGGCCCTGCTTTGCAAAAGCGACGACAATTGAACCCAGCAACTTTTGAACCCAGTGCTGGGGGTAACGACCAGAAGTGTTTCTCGGGAACTGGTTCAGGGTTGGAAAGGTGTTTCAAGGCACGCCTGTCCCCATGAGACACCAGAACGTGGCGTCTCACTCGTGTCGGGCTTTGTTATGCGATGTTGTTTGGGACGAGGTGTTTGCCGTGATGGCGGTATGCATTCTGGAGTTCAAAAGAGGTTATCGGGTGCCAAACGGACGTGTCTTAGGGCGTGCTTCTGTTGCTACTGCCAGTGCTGCTTCAACCACTGGACAGTCGGATTTGTGAATCGCTGGCAATGCCCTGAAACAGGCCGGTTGGAGGGGGCCTCGACCTTGACCGCCTTCTCTGCCCACGGCGACGGCGTGGCGTCGTCAGCGTCGGTTGGCATCGACTGCGCGCCAGGTTCAGTACTTCACGAGATTCCCCGTAGGTTTACAAAGCGCAGGAAGGCCCTAACCCTGTTGACATAAGAGAATGTTGTGTTGCAAGAACCAAAGCTTGCAGCACCTTGGGATCCAGGTCTAGCCCATGCAGCCACTTCT